GGGGGGAGGGGTTTGTGGAGGGGGGGGGGGGGGCGTCAGGTCTGTGAAATTTATTGTGGAGATGCATTTTAAACAAGCCATATACTTTACAATCTGATTGCACAATCTTTTTTTTACAATTTCACCAGCAACTATATGTAGCCAAAACTGTTTTTTTAATTATTATTTTTGCAATTATTCTAATTACTGAAATGTCTGCTCCCAAAGCAACTAAATCATCAGCAGCAGTTCACCATTGGATGCCTGATATCACTGGATTAGTGCTGGCGGAAGAAACCACTGCGTGCAGTGGGAGGAGCGGGTGTTCACATATCCAAAAGTGTCACATACCTGCATCAACCAGTTAGTTCTGAAGCAGCGGCATTTCAAGACACCGACCAAGGAAAAGGAAAGTAAAGTGCCTTGTTTTTTGACAGAGCTGGTCTTTTGTGGTAAGAGACTCTGTGGTGTCAGGGTCACTTTAAGGGCCAACGTCAACTGGCTTCAATGTGCATATGTAGCGTGCATATGACATCAGTTTCGCTATATGATGTGATAGCAATATAGTTCGCTATATGATGTGATAGCAATATAGTTCGCTATATGATGTGATAGCAGTCAAATCAATTAACCGTTTTTGACTTGAAATTCTATTGGAGTGCGAGTGACTTTATACATACACTTATCTTGGATTGTAGAGGCATCTGCAGTCACTTTGGCACAGGGCTGTAGCTACCATGGGGCGAGTGAGGTACTCGCCTGAGGCGCAGCTGAGAGGGGGCGCAGCCAGGGCCACACACTCATGCACACACATTACTACACATGTGCAAAGACAAAATGAATGGAAACTAAACATTTTTTAATTAGTTTAGTCAAACGGAGACATTTTTATGCTATTTTGGATTTCGCCACCGGCGCATTATGTGCATGCGTGCCGCCATCCTGGAGGCGGGGCGCATGATGTCACATAATGCCGCACGTGGGTGGCATCACACGTCTGTTGGGGGGCACCATTTTTTGTTCTGCCTCGGGTGCAAAAGGAGCTAGCTACGGCTCTGCTTTGGCACCCACCCGACTCTAAGGCCCCGTTCACACTGAGCGATTTATCACGCGATAATCCGCGCTATATCGCTCTCCAATGCATCTGAATGGGGCTCTGTCCGTCTCTGTCGCGGGTCGTGTGTCGCTACAGCAGGACCCTTTTTGGAACGGATTTTGCCGCGATTCTAGGTTGCTCAATGCAACCATTTGCGCGATATCGCGCGACAAACACGCAAAATGCAAATCGCGCGCCAAACGCGCGATTTGCGAATTGCTCAGTGTGAATGGGGCCTAAGGGTCCTGCTGTAGCGACGCACGACTCGCGACAGCGACGGACAGAGCCCCATTGCCATGCACATGTTAGATTGATATCGCGTGGTAAATATCCGCGATATCGTGCGGATTACTGAGCGATAAATCGCTTAGTGTGAATGGGCCCCAAGGGTATTATTCGGTCAGGAGGGCGATGGGTACACTGGATTTTTTACATCAGTTTGAGACGCTTCTGAGATCATTCAGAATGTAAGTGGCAGTTAACTGAAACGAAAAAAAAGTGTAAGTGACTGAGGATGCCACGATCTGGATAGCTGCTGTGTATGAAATGGGTTTTCTCCGGGTATTTTGGTTTTCCCCCCACTCCAAAGACATGCTGGAAGGGTATTTGGCTCCTGTCTAAATTGGCCCTACTATAGATGTGAAATGGGGACCTTAGATTGTAAGCTCCTCTAGGGCAGTGACTGATGTGAATGTGCAACTATGTAAATCGCTGTGTAAATTGTCAGTGCTATATAAATACCTGTAATAAATGTCTCCCAAGAAAAATATATATATATACAGTGTACCAAGTATTTAGATTGAAGAAAAAAAAATGGGAATAAAAACGTTTTTCTCAGCAGGGGTAAAGAAAAGGCATTAAAACTCCTAGGACAGTAATCAGGTAAAACTGACAGTTCATCTGGCTCTCACCTAGTCAACATTTCAGTGATACAGGTGGGTGGGAGCCAGGCACACTGTTTATCAATGGAAGGTCCATATGGCTGTCACATATGTGCCATTTCAGTGACAATTCCACTGCCACCTCCAGGCATACTGTCAGCATCACTACAATGGCACATCTGTCACAGTCAGAGCCAGGCGTACTGCCAGTGTCACTGGAATGGCGCATATGTGACAGCCATGCATACTGTCAGTGTCACTGGAATGGCACATATGTGACAGCCAGGCATACTGTCAGCGTCACTGCAATGGCACATCTGTGACAGCCAGAGCGAGTCGTACTGCCAGTGTCACTGGAATAGTGGATAGGAGCCAGGTGCATACACATTTGAAAAGACACTGACAGTGGACCTGGCTGCCACCTACAGGTACTTTCAGCAGGGCTGTCCCTACTATGAGCATCTCACTGGTTCATGTGCCCTTAACAACCCGCAATGCTCTGGCCGGCGTCTTGCCCAGCTCAATTATGCCACTGGTTGCCAGGAGCTGAGCAGAATGCCCTGGGTGGCGTCTCACCCAGCTCCTGGCCACCAGTGACATCGGTGATCTGGGTGGGACGCCGGACAGACATACCGTGCATCCCCCTGATAAAGTGTGTGCCGCCAACAACCCCCCTGGTAACGTGCACTGCCAGCAAACCCCCCAAGGCAGGGACAATTGTACGGACACCCCTGACTGTCAGTGTTCCTGGAATGGTGGAAGGTGCACATACCATTTCAGTAACACTGACTGCATACACATACAGTACATACATACACACACACATACAATACAAACACCTCTCTGGTGGCATGGCTGGCCTCATCAGTCCCCCGGGTCCTCCTGCCATTGAGAAATCCTAGCTGCAGCAGTGATGCCTGACAATGCTTGGGCAGGAGGATCATGGAGGCATGTACCTGATAGGATGAAAATGTGACATGCCACATCCCTGATTTTATATGACCTCCATATAATGATATCTAGCACCCCTAGGAATCAAAAAATATCTCTGTTAGCCTCCATTTACTTTGGACTGTGAGTGTTTTCTGGTCATTTTGAAGGTTATTTCTGTGTTTTTTTTCAGGCGTGACTGTTTGTGTTTTAACCAGCTGAAAGCTAGCCACTAGAAGGAGGAACGCCAAAAGCACATTTTTCAGGCGCTCGCACTGAAGTCACACACAATTGTGCCTGAACAAGGCTCATGTACTTTTTTGAGCTACAAGTGACAATACGCTGAGGTGTGAACGAGCACCATTGACAATGATGGGATTAATCAGCCTTGTAAGGCTTTGGCAAGCCATCCTCAGGTGTGAATGGGGCTTATACTACTGCAGTCATGTATGATATTTAGGATATCTGCCCCTGCATCTTACTGTGATATATAGTATCTACTTTATCATATCTGTGTAACTTCATCTCATTTGGCATAGCTGCAATACTTGGACCCATTCACACCACAGCGTTTTGTTAGGTAGGGCTGCCATTAGAAATCATGGGGGCCCATGCAGCCAATGGCATGCTCGTACCTGGTACTTGTGGTCCCCCCACAGTCTCACACTATTATTATACATTTATATAGCTCTGACATATACCACAGTGATGTACAGAGAACACTAAGCCAGCCACACCAGTCTCTCTACAGAGGAGCTTACACTCTAATGTTCCCCCACAGTCACACACTATTATTATTATTATACATTTATATAGTTCTGACATATACTGCAGTGCTGTACAGAGAACACTGAGGCCGTCACATTAGTTTCTGTACAGAGGAGCTTACACTCTAATGCAGAATGGCACTGAATGCAATACATTATACAGCAATGCAGAACAGTATATGAATTGGACTCTGGACTTAGGAATGCACTGGACTCGGGACCCACCTGAGGCCCCACAGAGCCCACCTGAGATACTGCAGTGCCCACCTAATACCTCACACAGCCCACTTGAGTGTGACCCTGCAGAGACCACCATAGATCCTGCACAGCCCATCTGAGACTCTCTGTGCTGGGCTCTGCAGGGTCTCAGGTGGGCTCTGTGGGGCCTCAGGTGGGTCCCGAGTCCAGTGCATTCCTAAGTCCAGAGTCTAATGCGTTCCTAAGTCCAGAGTCCAATTCATATACTGTTCTGCATTGCTGTATAATGTATTGCATGGGCTGGTCAAGGTCCCTTTCCCAGCTCACACATCTCCTTACCTACCGTGGCCTGGCCTCCTGCACTGCAGCTGCTGGGCCCCGGCCTCCTCCTCCGCCGGACCGGCGTGGCTGTGTACTGGCCTACGCCACCAGACCGGTGCTGCTGGGCCCTGGCCTCCTCTACCGGACCGGAGCTTCTGGGCCCTGGCCTGCTTCTCCGCTGTCAGTGAGCTGAGGGGAACCCCCAGGTTCCCTGGGCCCCTTTCATGGGTATCAGCCATACCCCCCGGATGGCAGCTCTGTCACTAAGTACATGTCTAACCCTGACATAATTTGCACTACTTTTTTAATGCACAGCAATGCACGCTGTTGTGCTAAAATGCGTTGCAGTGCAGCACAATACGCAGTCGCCAGGAGGTGCCTTGGGGTGTCATTAAGACTATACGGCAACGCAGCAGTGCACCTAGCATGCACAACATTGCATGTGGATAATGTGCCTTTAACGCAATGCTATGGTGCAAATGAGCCCTAAACAACATATAGTTATTAAAGCAATACTATGCAAATTAATATTTTAACAGGGCTGTGGACTATTTCTATGCTCAAAGGTGAGACATTGATATCACATGTTATAGCAGAGTCTGTGGCAGGGTGTCAATGGTGTCTGTATATGCAATGACTATAGACGGTAAGGAGAGGGTTAACCCTGTGCGGCGATGATGTACATTTACTGCACTGGTAGCTCAGACGATCCAATGGTAACCTCCACCTGATTGGCAGAGGTGCGGCGCCACCTGCTGGCCGGCGGGGATAAGTAAGGGGCGTGCACTTCTAAAGGGATGCCGAGGATGCCTGCTTTGACATAACAGCACCGGTCTGCCTGCCTGCTAGGACTACACTGACAAGGTAGGGTGGGGGAGACAAGTGGTCCATTTCTCTGAACGTTCAGGCTGAAGGTGGGCGCTCCCCCCGCCCTTTACCCTCTCACAATGTCTTCTTCAATGGGGCCCAGAGGCCCTCGGCCACCCATAGTGCCTCCCCCCATGCCCGATCTCCCCGATCTGAGCCATCTGACAGAGGACGAGAGGAACACTATCATGGCAGTGATGAACCGACAGAAGGAGGAGGAGGAGAAGGAAGAGGCCATGCTAAAGTAAGGAGATCGTATTATCTTAAGTGTAAGGAAAACAAGAGCTAGTCAGATGGTGATGGAGTGACAAGGCAATGATTGACTGTAGGTGGCTTCATTTAGATTGCCAGGTACAATTGTTTGTATGTATGTATGTATGTATGTGTGTGTGTCATGCTGTTTAACCTGTTAGGTACCAAGGTGGATGACAGATCCCCCTCTCCAGGTGTGCACTGTTTACTGAATGTTGATGATGATGGCTGATCTGTAGATGTTCTGTACACCAACCATCTTCCTCCTGCCAGCTCAAGCTGTCATGTTTGTGGACTGCCATCCATTGCCATCAATATCCAGGTATCATGACTGTGATCGGGAAGGGGTATACTTGCCCTGTATAATATCATGCCATAGTGATCTATAGGATGCATGTCTGTAATATACGGGCAGTATGGCCTGCAGCAAGCCTGTCCTGTTTTCTGGCTCCAGCATACAGCCCTCCAGGCCTATAAATCCCAGGAAAACACAGCACTGCTGTCCACATCCTCCTACTGCATACATCCAGCTGTTCCATTCATGACTGCTCTACACATCCATCGCCTAGGAGGACATGGAATGACAGCTGATGAACATGTTTACCCCCCCCCCATACACATACACACACATTTCCGGGCTGATCATATCCCTAATGATACCCAATGATCTTTCTGGATAATGACCAGGATGGAAGGGAAGTGTAGTGCAGAAATGACTTCTTCCTGGGAGCATTGGGCTTGCTGGTCTACAGAGCATGGGGTGTGGTTGCCTTTTCTGATGGGGGGGAATGTCCAAAGGCTTTTATCTCATTAACTGCCATGTTATTCTTTCATTCATAACTTTGATGAATACATACATATATAGCGCTGCCAAAGCCCAAACTATGTTTGCATAGCATCCAGTGGTTGTACCAGGATGATGGGTATCGCCATAGTACAACCTGATCATTACCTGTAAAATCAATGCATGACAATCCATCTACCTGTTGTTCATATATGATGGAGAGGAATGTCCTTCTTTCTTCTAACACATGGGCTTTGCATTTCATACATAGGATCACGCTTATCACATGCATCTTATATTGTTCTCCATTTTTATTTCCTGCGGTATGCAAATATTATGCATTCTGCTTCCTCCCCATTCTTACTACCCATAGAGATCCAAGTCTGACGGGCTGGGGCTATGTATGATGGTGATTACATGAGTGTAGATCAGTCATTATGGGATATCTGGCTTCCTAATGTCTATACAACAAATAATCTTTGCTTTTCATGTGCTTCTAGCATTTTGAATTGATTACAGCACATGATGTGTGTGTGATTACAGTACATAACGTGTATGTGTGCCTTTATGTCATCAGGGTGTCACAGCATCTAAAAATGGATCCAGGGTAATTCTGATGACCAGCTAGGCCTGTGGGAGATCTGGAAGAAAAACATGAATTCCGTTTTAGCAGTTGCTGTGTCAATATTGGTCTAGATTTTGACCTATGTTAAGAGGATGGGATAGTGTAGCTGCTGCCTATAGCAACAAGTTAGTTGCTATGAGAAACGGCTTTATGTCTAGATCAATTTTTTTTTTCATTTATAGCAATCAAAGCCGTTCCTCTGTTCTGGGGGAATAAGGTGTTGCTAAATGTCTGCATTGCACATCAGATCTCTTGACATAAGCAAATAATATTCTGACCACTGTCTTCTGGACTTCTGTAATGAATTTGTTTACAGCTGGATATGGATGTTAACCTGTTAAGGCTCCTGATGTATAAGCACACAGAATCTCAAGTGTTCTTCTGTGCTCCGAGGAAAAAAAAATATGCTGAGAGCGCCGATTAATAGTAAAGTGTCATGGAGAAAACGGTGACATGTGAAATGCAGCATAAATGTTCATGTATTCAGGAGTGGGTGTGGCAGCCTTAAAGGAATATGCCGGCTGTAACATCTCATCAGATGACATCATCTCATATTTTCTTATTATGTGCCACTTTGCAATTGGAAATGAAACAAACATAATGGGACTCATCTCACAAATTGTCCATCATCATTTTCTCCAATGTCCTGTATCTTAAAAGGATATTTTTAGACAGAAATAAGCTTGCATTTTTTTTTTTTAAATTTTCAGTTTTTCTGAAAAGCGGTGTATAATATACTGAGGCTGTGCAGGGAGATGTAACCGATAACTGCCTGTAGGCTTTAAAGTGATACTAGAGCCAAGTGTATTTAATCAGAAACACATTTGTATAGGGTAAAAGAGCACATTGCAGGAAATGATTGTTCTCAGCATTATTTTTTCATGATTTTGCAGCTGCATGCACCTACTTCCTTTGCTCTGCTTTCTCACTGTTCCAGATGGGGGGTACACTCTCACAGTATCATCAGGAGTGGGGATGAGCTCTGGTCTGGACGGAACCCGGTCCAAACCTCAGCTCCTTTGAGCATGGAAGGAGCTCCTCCAAACACGGAAAGGAGCTCCTCCAAACACAGGACCTCCTGATCGCAGAAGGAACTCCTCTGATCACAGACCGCCTCTGATCGCGAAAGGAGGACCTCCTCCGAACACGGAAGGAGCTCCTCCTGAACACAGAAGGAAACTCCTTCCACTGCTGCTCAGTCAGCTACAGGCCAAGAAATTCCCCATCCGCAGCTGTATGTAAACAAAGGGGCAAGCTGCAGTGATGTCATATACCTTTTATGGCCTTATACTGAACCTGGTCCAAACCTGAGGTTCTCTGCACATAGAAGGAGCTCTTTTGTGCATGGAAGGTGCTCCTTTGTGCATGGAAGGTGCTCTTTTGTGCATGGAAGGTGCTCCTTTGTGCATGGAAGGAGCTCCTTTGCGCGTGGAGGGAGCTCCTCCGCGCATTGAAGGAGCTTCTTTGAACACAGAAGGAAACTCCTTGCACTGCTGCTCAGTCAACTGTGAGCCAGGGAATTCCCTGCCCGCAGCTGTATGTAAGCAAAGGGGCAAGCTGCAGTGACGTCATGGACCTTATATGGCCACATGGCTTTATTTGGTCAATTACTTTGACTTAATATGGCCGTCGCCATATAAGGTCAATTAAGTCCACACAAGCATCCTGCCCCTTTGTTTACATGCAGCTGCAGGGCAGGGAATGCCCCAGCCCGCAGCTGAATGGGTGGGTTGCCACTGCCATTTCCATGTTCAGAGGAGCTCAGGTTTGATCCGAATCTGTGCTTATCTCTAATCAGGAGTCAGCTGATTCACTCCTCAGGATTACACTGTTCATGCATGACACATAATTGACAAAAAAATAGTGGCCGATGTGAGATGCTGCCTGCGCATGTCGTGGGAAAAAAGGAGCAAACATGCAGGGTGGCTGCGTCAGGGCTCCATAGGAGCACGCTGGGTAAAGTTGACACTTGCAAACAAGAAGGTGGGGGCAGCAGTTTTAGGACCCATGAAACAAGGATGAAAGACACTCTAAAGATGGAGGCTGTGCATCTAATGTAAGTGTGGACCTCTTCTGCTGAAATGTAAGAAAAGTAGTACTAGTAAGAGATGACTTTTGTTTGGTTGCTGTATTACTACATTATGCAAATAGGCCTTTGACTTATGGAATGCTCTCACAAATGTGGTGTGTCTAGGCCAGGAATGCAATATACAAACGGCACACCTTCATTTTACTGGCATGCCCTGAAAAATGTGACACAATCTAATGAGTTGCTACAAGATCCATACACATAACAGTAAAGTTAAAAAGTAGCCTTTGATACATGGCTAACATGTTATATACAATCCATAGGCCACAAGCCATAAAGGACCCCTCAGTGAATGAACACAGTTACATCTGGTCGCCTTAGGTCACCCGTTACTTCAGGTGGGGAAACTGCAAAATCTCAGATGACTCTACATTTCTATTGCTTTCAAAAAACATCCAGAGTATTCATTGTAGTATGTTTGTTTTTTCTTTTAGGACAGTGACATAGTTTTGTTTTGTGAATTTCATTGTGAAGCCTCCTTTTATTATTATAAAGCAATCACATCAGATTGTTTTAATGGTACTATAGGGCTACAAACAGGTGTGTTGCACAGAAGCACCTCCTGTACATGCGTGAACAGACCCAGATGGGCAATTGTGTCATGCGTTCTTCCTGGTGGGTAAGGAGTATAAATGAATGGAACAGCATTGCCAGATGCAGAGGTAATGCAGTTGTTGTCCAGTGTTGCTGCTCTGCTGAGCACTTGCACGTATTGAGCTCTTCAGCTCCGTACCAGAGTTCTCCTAAGGCTTCTTTTTAGCCTTTAAAGTTGAACACCAGGATTAGCAAATATTGTGTAAATATAAGAGCTATGTATGTCCCCACTTGAATCTTGGTGTGCTTTGTGTATTTCTTCCAGATCTGTGCAGTAATGCAGTATGAAACTTCACCTTTGTGCTGGAGCTTCCTGTAATAAAGACCAGTCAGGGCTGCTCCATCTCCTTGTACAGGGTGGCTGGTCTTGTATCTGCCCCCTCCACCACTAGTTTTCTGCATTAAGCCTGTAGTTCGCGGGGCCTGCTGACCCCTCCCATAGCTCTGTTCTCTGTACAGGCTACGTGCAGCATAGTGATGATGTCACTGCTACTTTTTAAGCTAATCTCTGGGTTTGGAAAGGCATTTGGTGCACACAATATGGATTTATATATTTTATGACCATAGATGAATATATTTAAATATAATGATGTTTGTGGTGATTAGCTTTAAAGGAGACCTGTAATGAGAGTGTATGGAGGGTTCTATTGCTGACCTCTAGTTAACTGGTTGTCATGCTAATCCAGTGGCTATGGTACTTTCTGAGCACTGACCAGGAAACAGAATGCAAATCGGCAATTCTGACTTCACTCTGCTTTTTAAATTTTTGTATTTGTTCTCAGTGTTTGAGAGACTACTGACACCAGAGCGGGCCATGCAAATAACATTCTTTAGGTTAGCAATGGAAGACCTATAGTTTACTCTGTATAGGCTTTTCTTAATATAGGTGATGTGCTGTTT